TTCTTTCTTTTTTATTTTGAGACAGAGTCTCCCTTGTTGCGCCAGGCTAGAGTGAGTGCCTGCGTCAGCCTAGTCACAGCAACCTCACACTCCTGGGCTCAAGCGGATCCTCCTGCCTCAGCCTCCCGAGTAGCTGGACTACAGGCATGCGCCACATGCCCGGCTAATTTTTTCTATATATATTAGTTGGCAATTAATTTCTTTCGTATTATAGTAGAGACGTGGTCTCGCTCTTGCTCAGGCTGGTTTTGACTCCTGACCTCGAGCAATCCGTCCGGCCCTCGCCTCCCAGAGTGCTAGGATTACGAGGCGTGAGCCACCCACCCAGCCTTCATTTTCATTAATTTCTTTTTTTAATTTTAAAAGCTTCTTAAAGACTTTCTGCGGTTTCAGGGGGTCCTGCTGGAGATTATACTTATCTGTGGCCCCCAACATGCACCTGTGTTTCTAGAATGCAGGTGTGAAACTGCCCCGTTTCCTGTGCCTCTCGTAGCGGCAAGGGGAAGCATCTGCATGCGCACACACACACACACACACGCATGCGCCCATGCACACGCACACACATGCATGTACACACACACACCGAATACACGTGCACGCACATGCACGCACATGCATGCGCAAGGAGCCCAGATTGTACTGTACTTGACACCCGAGGCCACTAGGGCCCTCCCTCCCTCCCTCCCTTCCTTCCTTCCTTCCTTTCCTTTCTTTTCTTTCCTCTCTGCCCTATCCTGTTTTCTTTCCTTCCCCCAGTGTCCATCCTAAGAGAGGAGTTGCCCCCTAGATAAACCTTCTGTCTCCATTTACCTATCTTACCTGCCCCAGGTAAGACAGTCATTCCCCATGCCCACTCCCCGAGGACACTGAGCTGATGGCTCTCCCAGCGTCCTGGCTGTTGGTTTTCAACCATGACCATGACCCGCCATGGTCAGCCCCTTCCTTCCACGCCCTCTCCTGCACACATCCAAGGCCAAGCCCGTCTGCAGGGTTGGGGACACCTTCTCTGAGCAGAGGGACGGAGCTCCTTGCGGGCATTGCTCGTGTTTTAATGGAGAAAGGGCTGATGACAGAAATGGCATTGCCCAGACGCAGCAGCTGTAGAAAGAGAAGAGTTCCATTTAGCAAAATCCATCTACCCTAACCCCGCAGCCCCCAGAAGACCCCCTCTACCCCCAGAGCCAAGGACAGCATGAACCCAAGCCGAGGGCAACTCTGTAAAAGAATCCAGGCGCTCACATTAGCAATGGGAAGGGGTGACTCACCTGGCAGTGTGGGTCCCCTGCGTGTGTCCCACCATCGTCTGCCTCTCGGGGCAGGGGGAAGTTGGACGAGGATCCGCCACTGGGGCGCTCACTTCTGCAGCATTTTGCCTAAAGGGTCAAAAACCAGTGGGCACCCTCGGCCAATCACCAAGGTACCCAATTGGCCAACTCACTCATTAACTTGGGGTCCGCCCCCCCACCCCCGTACAATAGGCAATGGCCTGGATTATACGGAACACTTGTAGGGTTCCTCAGAAGTGCACACGCCTTTACTCACACACCGAGTGTTAGGGACAGTGAGCTGTGTGTTCCTCTTCATACCTCTTCAGACTAGACCAGACCTCTTCATACCAGTTGTACTTGTTATTCTAACAGCATAATTTAATTAAATATTATACCTACCAATGAAATACAAGGACAAAACGATCATTGTGTCTAAGTCTCAAAGTCCAGCTGATGAAAGAGTGACCAATTTGCTACGGATGAGATGCATACATTAGCTCTGGGGAAAAACTGGAAAGCTACCTTGTCCAATATGACAACCACTAGCCATTGTGGGTATTTAAATTTAATTTTTTTTTTTTTTGCAGGGGGGACAGAGTCTTGCTCTGTCACTCCAGGTAGAGTGCAGTGGCATCATTGTAGCTCACTGCAACCTCCAACTCCCAGGTTCAAGTGATCCTCCTGCCTCAGCCTCCCCAGTAGCTAGGGCTACAGGCATGTGCCTAATGCCTGGCTAATTTTTTTCTATTTTTAGTAGAGATGGGGGGGGGTCTTCACTCTTGCTCAGGCTGGTCTCGAACTCCTGATTTCAAGTGATCCTCCCGCCTCGTCCTCCCGAGTGCTGGGATTACAGGTGAGAGCCACTGCACCTGGCTCCAACCTCACATTTTATTCCTATTGGGTATCACTCCACCAACAAATGTTATCAATTGAAACCTCATTCTTGGAAAACCTCTTTTATATTATATAGACACCTAAACTAATCACAAACAGAAAAACAAATAAAGACTTCATATTAATTTTAATGGTACATTTTATTTCACCTCTTTTATCCAAGATAGTATAATTTCAACACACAATCAACATAGAAAATAGCGATAGGGGCTGGGCGAGGTGGCTCACGCCTGTAATCCTAGCACTCTGGGAGGCCGAAGCGGGCGGATTGCTCGAGGTCAGGAGTTCGAAACCAGCCTGAGCAAGAGTGAGACCCCGTCTCTACTATAAATAGAAATAAATTAACTGGCCAACTAATACATATAGAAAAAATTACTGGGCATGGTGTCGCATGCCTATAGTCTCAGCTACTTGGGAGGCTGAGGCAGGAGGATTGATGGAGCCCAGGAGTTTGAGGTTGCTGTGAGCTAGGCTGACGCCATGGCACTCACTCTAGCCTGGGCAACAGAGCAAGACTCTGTCTCAAAAAAAAAAATAGCGATAGGATATTTTGCATTCTTTTCCTCATACTAAGTCTTCTACATCTGGTGCTCTTTGTGTAGTTGCTCGTCTCAATTTGGACTGGCCACGTTTTGAGTGCTCGGTTACTGCCTGGGGCACATTGGCCACCATATTGGACAGCACAGTTCTAGAAGAAAGAAAGGTTTAAGTTGGTTGGCACTTGTATAAACAGGCCAAAGACAGCCTCTTTCTCCCCACCCTGTCTCATTTATTTCTTCACACCAGGCAGGGACCTGTTAGCTTAAAGCCCACCAGCACCAAACTCAAATTCTCACACATCCGATGGCTATAAATATAATATAAGCGTATCTTTATCCACTTAGTCTACCTGCTTACCCCATGCCCATGAAACTGTACCCAATATCTGCTAGCCATATATAAGACAATCCTGAAGTTATAAAGAACTCCAAATTTTCCTAGCTCTCTGGGAGGCCAAGGCGGGCAGATTGCTCGAGGTCAGGAGTTCAAAACCAGCCTGAGCAAGAGCGAGACCCCCATCTCTACTATAAATAGAAAGAAATTAATTGACCAACTAATATATAGAGAAAAAATTAGCCGGGCATGGTGGTGCATGCACGGCACTCACTCTAGCCTAGGCAACAAAGTGAAACTTTGTCTCAAAAAAAAAAGAACCCCAAATTTTTGCTGCCATTCAGAGTTCTCTAACCCACAGACTCCCCACTTTGCTGCTGAGTGACCTGGACACCTAAGCCCCCCCACTTCTCTTCCGTGAGCTCCCTTGCCCAGGCCCCTTAGTCAGGAGTCCCGCTTCAAGGGCCTTCCCCCACATGCAAATCTGTCCAAGTGCTGCCTGGTGATGCTACCATCTCATGATCCTGTCTTTTTTTTTTTTTTTTTTTTTTTTTTGCAAGACTTGCAACAGCAGAAATGATCCTGTCTTTTCTTTGACCAGGACCAAATTCCTTGAACTCACCATGATTAGGAACCAATGACATCACAAGTCTTGGCCCCTGAAATTGCAACTTTCCTGGTTTTTTTTTTGTTTGTTTGTTTTGTTTTTTTTTTGGTAGAAAGCCAAAATTAATTTTAATCGATTAATTCTTGCTACGTTTTGTGGTCTTGAAACGATACATGTTTGAGAGAATGCAGCGGACATTGATGGTATGAAGTAACGTTGCTACGGCAGAGCACAGGTATGGCCAGGTGGCATCTAAGAAGCCTGCGGTTCCTGGGTGTGTCACCATCAGCAGGGCGGCCGGCATGGAGTGGGGGTGTCTACAGATTGTGAGCATGCTGAGCAACAGGTGACACGCGTTGTCCACCACGGACAAGGACGTTCTCTTTCCCTGTGGCACTGCGGCTGCAAGTGCCAGGAAAGGCTGGCGGAGCCCACGTTCCAGGTGCTCAGGACGGGGCGTGAAGCCACGGTGCAGCTTTTAGGCAGAGAAGCCACAAGGGGGCTCCTCAGCTCCAAGCAAAGGCTCCGAGTCCCCATCTCCACCTGCATCAGCTTCTTCTGTGGATTCGCGGCTGTCCCGCCCCTCTATTGGGGACGGAGCCAGCGGGTGGACGACTGCTGGAACGATGCAGGCAGATTATAGCAGCAGCAGTATGTGAATGCCCCGTAGGAGGACACAGAACTGGATTCACCATCCATTCCCATTGTGATAAGAAATGTTCTAGCTTCTATTTGTCAACAACCAAAGAACAAGAGCAGTTGGGGTCTTCGGATGTCATCTCACCTGTCGTCATCTTTTAGTGGCTTGTAAAAAGTGGTTTTGAACTTCTTGTCCCCTGTTGGTGCGCACCAAGTTTCTCCAGTTGATAATAAAAGTGGCAGAGTTCACATGGTGACATCCTCAGAATGAAGTGGATAAAACCAGTGTCATTTATGAAGAGTGAAGCCCTCAGTGACCTTCCCATTCCATCTTTGTATCATTTCTGAAAAGTCACTAATGTTCATGCACGGACCCTACACTAGTCAACGCGCTATGCTACCATTGTAACTAACTCGGTTGTAATTCAGTTAAGAATCAAACATTCTGGGCTGGGCACGGTGGCTCACGCCTGTAATCCGAGCACTCTAAGAGGCCGAGGCGGGCGGATCGCTTGAGGTCAGGAGTTCGAAACCAGCCTGAGTAAGAGCAAGACCCCATCCTCTACTAAAAAAATACAAAGAAATTAATTGACCAACTAAAATTATATAGAAAAAATTAGCCAGGCATGGTGGCGCATGCCTGTAGTCCCAGCTACTCGGGAGGCTGAGGCAGGAGGATCGCTTGAGCCCAGGAGTTTGAGGTTGCTGTGAGCTAGGCTGACGCCACGGCACTCACTCTAGCCTGGGCAACAGAGTGAGACTCTGTCTCAAAAAAAAGAAAAAAAAAGAATCGAACGTTCTTGGCTCTGTTTTTGTAAAGCAGGCAGCCGGTATACAGGTGGTCTCAAGTTCCTGAGAATGTCTTTAGGTCGGATTTGTATGTAACTCAGATCCCTGATGAGCAGCACACATATAGTAATAATAATAATAACAATATAATGGCTCGTATGTGCTAACGACAATACAGTGTTACACTGTCATAATACTAAGACTCCTGTACTGTTGCAATAGGTTACAGAAACTATTGTACTCTTTCTTTTAATCCAAACAATCAGAACATAAAAACAAACATAGAAAAAGTTTAGAGAGGAGATAGGAGAAATTTCGGAAAAGAATATTAAAGGCTAACACTCACCCAATGTTGCATCAATATCTGGCTTCCTGGAAGGGGAATTTTTGAGGCAAGAAGGCAGCTGACATTAATCAGAAGGTGATGGCAGGGTTGGTGCTGCAGGCCGTGGAGTGGGAGCTGGAGAATCGGAGAATCAGGATTCGGTGCTGTTGCTGAAGGAGAGGTGCTCGCCCCTGAAGTGCAGTTTCCTGCAAAAGGTACCTAGGGCTGTTTGCTCAGCCTTTTTTTTTTTTCGGTTATGCATGGCCTGGTAGCAGCTGACGTCCTCAGAAACAGAATGGAACGCAAACCTTTGCAAACCGTTCAATGTTAGTTAGCATCTCGACCCTGGCACTTAGCAAATCCTGCTGCAATGAGACCTACGGCTTCAGCTCATTCTTTTGTTGTAAACTTTCTTGGCTCTGGAACTTCTGATTCTTCGTGTTCTTGTGTTTCTATCAGCTGCTTCTCTGTCTATCTGTGAAACCAGCAGCCAGTGTGAAGATAGATTACAAATCAATTACACCACGCAGGCTTGTTTACATGTGCTCCCGAATTATCAATTTAATTATAATATCAATTACCCTTATTTATTTAAAATTACATATTATTATAATATAATATAAATTACCCGTTTGATTTAATTATAACATAAATTACCCTTATTTATTTAAAATTACATATTATTATAATATAATATAAATTACCTGTTTGATTTAATTATAATATAAATTACCCTTATTTATTTATAATTACATATTATCATAATACAAATTACCCATATTAATTTAATCATAATATAAATTACCCTTATTTATTTATAATTATCAATTATTATAATATAAATTATCCTTATTAATTTAATTATAACATAAATGACCCTTGGGAGCCCGTTGCTAAGTACAGGACACCATAAGTGGGCTTGTCCCTAACCGGGACTGCCTGTACTTGACAGCTTTTGTTATTGAAATCTTTGTTTCTCTTCTTTTTTTTTTTTTTGTTTTAAAAAACTTCTTTCCTTCTCATTCCTAATCCCTTTCATTTTCTCTCTGAAGTCGTCTTCTTCCCTTCTTTTTCCCTTTTTCCTCTTTCCTTTCTGCCTCGCATTTGCAGTCAGTACGGACGATGGGCGCAGGCAGCCCTCCTACTCGCCCGTTCCCTGGTTGCCTAGAAATGGTTAATACATTTGGCCGAAAAAATGTTTTTTTGTTTTCTTTTTAAAGACGTGTTTGACGTGCATTCAGCCTGCCGTTTCGAAGGCTGTCCGGGGTCATAACGGTTTGCTATGGAAATGATTCGGCACCGCCGAGCAATGTGGCAACTGGCGTTGAGAAAGCTCTCAGAGAAATAAAAGATCTCGTGGTGCTCAGGTGCTTTTGACACAAAATCTACTATTCAGAAGCCCCGTCATGATGGGAATTGTCCTCTTAGGCTACTCATGAAAGGATCGGATGCTCAGACTCAGGTTTGTGCCAAATAAGAGGCTCTTAAAAACCACCCATCAATGCATAAATGGCCCAGAAAGTTCTAACCAACAGTGCTGGTTAATTAACAGTCATTAGTTAAATAAAAACAGTCAATTAGGAAGAAGCCCATCTGGGAGGGGGGAAAAAGTTTTAACAACCACTGAGGGCAAATGCTCTTAGCGAGATCTGGAAGCTTGTGGAGGATGCAGTTTTTGTACCATTCTAATATTCAAACTTATTATCGATATCCTGTGGGTTTCCTGGCTTGTTCTTTCCTTGTCGATGTTCAGCTTCAATATTTTTGCTTGATTTTTATCTTATATTTTAGTAGGAAAATATCCTTTCATTTTATCGTGCCTTTGGGGTTTTCTGGCCAAAAAAAATGATTGAAGAAGTAACATTTGAGCTTGGTAAACACACACAAAGACATATGCACATACAGACAGACTCCACAGCATGAAGGGATTTTCAATGAAAGGTTAAGCCTGCCTTCTGCTGTCGTGTAGATTCTCAGTTTATTATTTTTCCAGAAGTACTCTCTGCATATACAAGCACGCTGCGAAAGGGCAGAAAGGAGATGTGGTGGTGGGCAGAGGTTCAGCACTTGGGTTTTAGAGCCATTATCATCTAGGTTCAGAGCCCAGCTTTGCAGTTGATTAACTAGCTCCGTAAGCGTGCACAAGTGACCGGACCCTTCTGTGTACCCCAAAGTGGTGGGCAGCCTCTAACAGGAAGCACAGGATCCTCACTTCCTCTCACGTACCCTCTGTCAGCCCATCCCCTTGAATGTGGGCTGGACTCACTGACTTGCTTGCAACAAATACGCCAGAAGCGATTGACTGTCACTACTGAGATTAGGTTATAAAAAGACTGTGGCTTCTGTCTTGAGTGTGCATGGGAAGCCAGCTGCCAGGTCCCTGCTGCCATGTCATGAGGACGCTCAAGCAGCTTGTTGAAAGGCCCATGTGGCAAGGAACTGAAACCTCCAACCCATAGCTCCTGAGGAACTCAAGCCTGCCAGCAACTGTGTGAATGAGCTTAGAAGTGAATTCTCCCCTGTGGCGAGCTGCTGTTCAACAAGCATGAAATTTCAATTATGCAAGATGCATAAGTTCTAGAAATCTACTGTACAACATTGGGCCTATAATTAATACTGTACTGTGCACATAAAAATTGGTTAAGAGGGTACATCCATATTAGGTGTTCTGGGAGGGAGGGAGGGAGGGAGGGAGGAAGGAAGGAAGGAAGGAAGGAAGGAAGGAAGGAAGGAAGGAAGGAAGCCAGCCAGCCAGCCAGCCGGGTGTGGTGGTTTCTGCCTGTACTCCACTTAGGAGGCTGAAGTGGGAGGATAACTTGAGACCAGAAGTTCAAGACCAGCTGGGGCAATAGAGAGAAACCTTATCTCAAATGTAGAAGAAGATGGAGGAGAAGGAAGAGGAGGAGGAGGAGGAAGAGGAGGAGGAAGGGAGGGAGGGAGAATCTTCCTCAGTTGAGACTTCAGATGAGACTGCAGCCCCAGCTGACAGTTTGGCCACAACCTCATGAGAGACCCTGAGGTCTCCAGGACTGCACCACTGCATTCTAGCCTGGGTGACATTGTCTTCATTTGATCACAGAGCCCTTCCTTCACAGAGAGTCTGGCTGTATTCAGTAAGACTGTAGTTCTGCAAAGGGTCACAGGGACTCAGTCCCAACCTGGCTTCTACCAAACCTATAGGTTTCAACAGCTTGAGTGACCAACCGACCATCCCATTTGCCCAGGACTGAGGGGGTTGGAGACATGGAACTTTTGGGGGGGTTTTGAAGGTATTAAAATTATTATTCAGATATAATTCACATAACATAAACATCAACATTTTAAAATATGTAATTCAGTGGTTTTAAGTCTATTTAAAATATTGTGCAACCATCACCACTATCTAGTTCCAGAACATTTCCAATACCCTGGAAGAAAATGCTATCCCCATTAGCAGTCACTTCCTGTTCTACACCCCAGCCCCTGGGAACCACTAATTCACTTTCTGTCTCTGTGGATTTGCCCATTCTGGACATTTCATATAAGTAGAATGATAGGTTGGGCATGGTGGTGCACACCTGTAATCCCAGCTACCTGCCTGGGAGGCTGAGGCAGGAGGATTGCCTGAGAGCAGGAATTCCAGACTGTAGCATTGCTGAGATCATGCCTGTGAATGGCTACTGCACTCCAGCCTGAGCAACAGAGACATCCCATCTCTTGAACATAAATAAATAGATAAAAATTTTAAAATAATAAATAGAGTCATAGACTCGGTAGCCTTTTGTGCCCAGTTTCTCTCGCTGAGGATGATGTGTTTAAGGTTCATCCATACTGTAGCCTATGTCAGTATTTCATCCTTTTCATGGCCAAGTAATATTTCTTTGTGCAAATATATCACATTTTGTTTATACATTCATCCATGGATGGACACTGGGATCGTTTCCACTTTTTCACTATTACAAGAAATGCTGTTATGAACAGTAATGCAAGTTCTTGTGTAGACTTATGTTTTCAAGTCCTTTGGGTGTATACCTAGGAGTGGAATTGCTGGGTCTCATGGTAATTTTACTTTTTTGAGAAACTGGAACTTTCAGGGTGGTTTTGGGGTTTTTGTTTGTTTGTTTGTTTGAGACAGGGTCTTGCTCTGTTACCCAGGCTAGAATGCAGTGGCTTCATCACAGCTCACTACAACCTCCAACTCCTGGGCTCAAGCAATCCTCCTGCCTCAGCCTCCCGAGTAGCTGGGACTACAGGCAGGTACCACCACACCTGACTAATTTTTCTATTTTTAGTAGAGATAGGGTCTCACTCTTGCTCAGGCTGGTCTCAAACTCCTGACCTCAAGCGATCCCAGAGTGCTGGGATTACAGGCGTGAGCCACTCCCAACCCCCACCCCCACCCTCCGCCAAGACTTTTAGCTTTAAAAGTCTCAAAAGTCTTAAGGAAACTGGGGTGAGCTGGCCACCCTATGAATGATTCCTTCTTGGGGTCACTTGCCTGTGAACTTTAGGTATGAGGACCAAGCAAGCAAGATGTGGCCTTGCCTCCACCTCTGCTCTTTTTCCCCACCTGCAGCTTCCTCTACTGTAGACATTAGCTCTGCCATCTTCCCTCCAGGCTATGCCCAACAAGGTCATCCAAAGACGGTCCTCCAAAATGGCTCATGTAGCTTCTTTAAGCAGCAAAGCTTTCTCTCTGGAATGGACCAGAGCAGAGTCCACTAGGGGGAAATATCAGCCTTTCCTCCATCCATCTGGGATCTGAGGTTCATCTCTCTCTTCCCTGTCTGCCCTGGGTGTCCTACGTCAGCAAGAACATAGCTCTTAACTTTGACTTTACTTGGGCCACAGTAGAAATATTTGGAAGCTACCAGTGATCTTCGTGAAAGGGACTTCAGGGGCATGCCTGGGCTCTAATAAGACCCCATAAGAGCAGGGAGCACACAATGCTGAATCAATGCCTGTCACCTGCTGGAAACCATAGGACAAGAGGTGGGCCACCCCCACGGACCTGCTTTCTGTCTTTCTTTGACATGACTTCCCACCCCCAAAGATTTTGAATTCAAAATTGTCTTACCTCGTTCCTCATTATTCCAACCCTGGCTAAAATGTCAACTTCTCAGAGAGATCCCGGGTGACCAACTCTTCCCACTTTGTCTGGGAATTTCCCAGTTTTAGCAATGAAATTCCCTGTCCTGGGAAACCCCTCGGTCTTGGGCCAACCAGGATGGTTCGTCATCCTAGAGAGGACAGCCCTGACTGCTCTATCTAAGGTAAGTCCCACCTACTCTCCCCCCAAGTCACTACTCACTCACCTTTCCTATTGGTGTAAGGATTCTATCAGTTGTACATACACCTGTGTCCCTAGCACCTAGCAAATAGTAGGCACTCAACAAATATTTTTGTCTAAATTAATAATTGCACCAAAGGGGCTGATTACTTTTGGACTGCTGATGCTTAAGAATTCTCTTACACAAAAATCTGCCAAATCACTACTAACATTTTAATTGAAATGAAAGAATGGAAAATATCAGAATGCATTGCTTAAAGTATCATTTCGGGAAAATTTGGTTTTAGTTATAGATGTGTTTCTAGGAACTGGACCTCTGGGTAAAATATATTTCCCGGGATATGCTGTAGTCCAGAGTGTTTGAAAACCACCCCTCTAGTGGTCAAGAGCCTGAACTTTGGCACGAGACTGCTGGGGTTCCTCCAATCCCTCACAAGCTGTTTGACACTGGGCACACATACTCATTCTCTCCGGGCCTGAGTTTCCCGACCTGTAAAATGGGCACAATGCCTCACGTCTTTCTCAAGACGTGATTGTAAGATTTAACGAGTTAGCATTATAAAAATGCTTAGGTTGCACTCTGGCAGATATTATGAGACCCATTTAATCAACAACTAAATTGCCCTGGCTGTATCTTCTCAGAACAAGCCTTTTACTCCTACCGTTCCAATCCCTTCCCTCAAAGAACTATATATGTTTATTTATGTGTTCTGTTTATTGTTAATATTCCCTCACCAGAATAAAAGCTCTATGAGGGTCTGGCTGTTTCTGTCCTATTCTGAATCTACCACCCTGGGAAGGAGGGGAAAGTATGGCAAACATTTTCTATCAAGGAGCATACAGTGGATATTTTAAGCTTTGCATCTGTCTTGCTGTCTTTGTCCAACAACTCAGCTCTCCACGACTCAACTCCTGCAGCGTAAAGCAGCTTCCCACCTTGCTCAAAGGAATGGGCCGTGGCTGTGTTCCAATAAAACTTTATTTACACACGCAAGCAGACAAAATTGGATCTGCAAGGGCACAGGTTGCCAACCTTTAAACTAGTTGAAAATACTGGCCTCGAGAAAATAAAACTGAGTTTCTTATCATTTTTACACGTCACAAAAGATTCTTCCGTGGATTATTTCTTTGAACCACGTCAATATCTTTAAAATTCTTAGCTCGTGGGCCATGGAAAACAGGCAGTATTTCGGAGTTTGCCTACCCCCTGACCAGACTGTGCCCTACATGTCTAGCATTCCGCCTGTGGACTAGACGAAGACCCCTGGATCCCATAAAATTGGGGACCCCCGGTCCCCACTTCACTACAAGCCCGCGATTCCCCGCGCGTCTCCCCTCAGCCAACCCTCCGAGCCGCGCGCGCCTCCTGCCAGGCCCCGCCCTCCTTCGCGGCGATTGGCCGGGGATTTCCGCCGTTCTCTCCGGGGAACGCCCCCTCTGACAGGCACCGCGGGATAGCCAATGGGACCTGCAGGGTCTCGCGCCCCGCCCTCTCTGCGCCCGTTGGAGGCGGGCGTGGGCGGGCCGTTGGAGGGGGTGGGGCGTGGAGCCTGGTAACCGTTGCCGGTAACAACGCCCCGCCCTGTCGCGGCGGGCGGGCCGGCAGGCGGCGCGAGGCCGGCGGGCGGGCGGCGGGAGCCGGAGGAGGAGCGGCCGCCGCCGCCACCGCCGCCGCCATAGAGACTGTAGCCGTGGAGACTGTTACTTACCAACGGGGACCAACACGCAGCAGCCGCCGCCGCCGCCGCCGCCGCCGCCGCGGGAGCCGCTGCCCGAACTCCCGGCCCGAACTCCAGGTGACCGATGCGACCGCTCCGGGCCCGGCCCGGCCGGGGAGTGCGGGGGCCGGCGGGGACCCGACTCGTTCTGGGGGTCCGGGAGCGCAACCCCGCCGATCACCCCCAAACGTCCGGGCCAGCGCGCCTGCGGGACCCGCCTCCGCAGCCCCCGTCCCGCACGCGCGGCTGAGTTTGGGGGGCCCCTGGCGACGCCCCCTCGTTCCTTTTTAACCGAACTCGGGGGAGGTGGGAACCCGTCGCCCCACTTCTGACAGAACTTCCTGAGGTTGGGGCGTCCGGGGACCCCTTCCTCACGCTTACTCTCAAACTCGCCGACTTAGGGGCGCCCCAGGAACCCGTCTCAAACTCCTCAAACTCCCTGAACTGGGGGCTCCCGGGGAGCCTCTGCTCACTTCCTTCCGCAGACGTCCGAGTTGAGGGTGCCCGGGGATCCCTGTCTCACTCATACCCTCAAACTCCCTGAACTCGGGGCACCTGAAGACCGTCTTCTCACTTTCACTCCCAAATCCCTGAACTGGGGGTGCCTGGGGACGCTTTTCTCACTTTTACTCCCCAAGTCCCCAAAATTGGGGCACCCTGGGGGCCCTTCTCAGTCAGCCTCAAACTCCCTGAGTTGGGGGGAGCCTCAAAGACTCCCTTGCCATTTTTACCCCCAAATTCCTGGATTTGGGTTGTCCCGGGACCCCCCTTTCATTTTACTTCCAGACATACTGAGTTTGGGGGCGCCCCTATACCCTCAAAGTCGGTGCGTTTGTCCTGAGGAAGAACCTTTGTCATTTTTTTACCCCAAACTTCCCCAGGGGGACCCATTTCTCACCTTTTCACCCCAAATCGTCGCGTTTAGGGCTCCTCAGACATCCCCCCCCTCCCTCTTAACCCCACATTCCTGAGTTTGGGGGGCTCGCGAGTCCCTCAGTCCTAACACGCCCCCCCCCTCGCAGGAAGCCCTTTCGCACAGCCTATTTTAGGATCGCTCTGGACTGGAGAAAAGTTTCACCAGCGGGTGGTGGTTTGGGTTTTTGTCCCCACCCCCCGATTTATTAATGTATTATTTTGTTAAAGAGCCCAGTGGCTCGGTGGCATTTTCTCCTGAGGTTGTGCGAGTGCGTGTGTGCCTGTGCACTTAAGCTCCACCTCCTGCCCCCCCAACACACACAAACACACACCCCAAGTGAGCGCCTTATAGTCCCTTCCTTGTCCCTCTCTCGGAGAAGCCACCGCGCTCCCCCGCCACCAGCCTGCGGCTCCGTTCCTGTTCGTTTTTCTCGCTGCTCCGCTGGGGAAGTTGGAGTTCCCCGATGCCCGTGGCTATTTCTAGGGGTCCCCGATTGCCCTGGCCATTCCGGCGGCGGCGGGAGCGGTTCGTCTTCCTATGTTGACCTCCCGGTTGCCCGCAGGACTGGGGAAAGGGACAGAGAGGGCGGGGTGCGACTCCAGGGCTGACTGCCTTTCCCCCCACCAAGACCTCCTTCCTGCTTTGGAGTGTTGTTACTATGGGCCCCTCTCCCCAGCTGTTCCTTGCTTTGTACTGTCAGTGGAGGCTTTGATGAGTATTTTTCCCCCTCCCAAAATATCAAACCTTGTTATACAAGGTTCATTCTCAGTTTCAACTAAGAGCTTCCCAACAAAATAATAATGGCACAAAACACCACCAACAAAAAAAACTTTAAAAAAAATTTTTTGGCTTTTTATATGTTTTTATCTTTGTTTATTTGTTTTAGTTATTATTATTATTATTATTTTTAGAGATAGGGTCTCGCTGTGTTGCCCAGGCTGGACTCCAACTCCCCGGGCTGGAGCGATTCTCCTGCCTCAGCCTCCTTAGTAGCTGGGACTACAGGTGCCGGCACCACCCAGCTCTTATCTTTTTACTTCATGCTCCCAAACATTATTTGTTTGCTTATATAAAGATCTTGACTTCACCTCTGCCCTTCTAGGGGTGGGAGGGCCTGGGTAGGAGTACGTGTTCTTTTTCCCACTCAAGTTTAAAGACTTGAACTGAGTCTAAAATAACCCTGGAAATGACAACTCATCTACTCTGACCAGAGAACTAAAAGTTTATGGGAAGCCCCACCATAGAAAAAGAATTTCATGTCTTTAGCCACTAGTGTTCCTTCATCAACAAGCTTGGTAAAGTATTGGAGGAGACTCATATGATGGAAAAGGTCACTGGTTCTGTGATCTTGTGATATTTCAACTGATTTGGGTCAGAAATGAGCTCCGAATTCATTTGCCCCTGTAGTAAAAGCAATGCTGTATTTTCATTTATCAGTGAAGTTCTTTGAAATTCATTGATATTTGCTTTCTGGGTGAAAAGGTTGTAGTGATTTTGTCTTTTAACAGTGTTTACTATTGAAGAACTATTTAGGATGGTTCTATTCACTAGAAATTCAGGTGCTTGGGAATTGTTTATTTGGGTCTTATTCCTTAGATTTAATTTTTTGAGTTTCATATCAGAGTTATAATTAACTAATAGCAGTATTAAATTGATCTAACTTTAATTAGTGTTATAATTGAGTCAAAATTTTGAACGTACTTTGGGGTTTTTATAGTAACTAGTGATTGTTTTGCTTGTAAAATTCTAGTGCTGGTAGGAGCCACATCTTATATTTGGTTCTTTTTAATTAATTGAAGGTTGAGTACTTATTTAACACATTAACTGCCGCATGAGTTGTATTTAACTCATGATAGTGAGTTGAGCCTGGGGCCTCATGCAGCCTATATAACTCATAGGTCTCTTCACCTTGGGAGCTGCATGAACTATTTTTTAAGTTGCATATAACTCACCCACAGAAAACAATAAAAGATAGCAAATTTTCATCCAATTAGAAAGCACCGTTTTTTCCCCAAAGTTTTTATTCATAATAAAACACTGTGGCCTCAAGGAAAACAATTTTTTTTCTAGTGTGGCCATCAATGAGTTAAATGGCAAGCAGCTCATTTGCGAACCATGTTCTCTTGTACATGTGCCTGGCATTGGGTGACTTCTTATTTTGTTGAATGGATGGATTGGTGGACAGATGGAATATATGCTGGAAATTAAAGAAAAAATTGAAAACCACCTATTTGCTTCCTGGAAACCCCAAGACCCACAAAGGAATTCTTATAGGAAAAAGAAAAACAGGGACACCCAGAATAAAGGGGGTGAATGGGATACGGTGGGTGAAGGAGGAGGGAAGAAGATCTGGGGGTCTAAAGGGAATTCGTGCCTTGAGGGCTCCAGTTGGCTTTGGATTCAAGATCTTCCCTGCAGGAAAAGTCTGTCCAGCTGCCTGCTGGGCACATGCAGGTGGACTCTGACATGCAACTTAGACTCAAGGTGACCAAGGTCCCCCACATCTACTCCTCCCGGAGTACCCACCTCTCCACTCCGTAGTACTTCAGCCCTGCTGGTCTCTGGAAGTTTCTCACACTCTGCCAGGACAGCTGTTTGCCCAGGTATTTGGAGAGCTCACTCGCCCACTTCCTTCAGGCCTTTTCTCAAATGTCACCAGGCCACCCACTTAAAAATGGGTGCTCTTAGCCTCCTTCCCTGCTCTCTTTATCTTAGCATGTATCCAACAGTCCACGTGTTCTCTGCACTTATTTTATGATCACTGTCCACTTCGTTAGAATGTCAGCTCGGTGAGGGGAGGAAGTTCTGTTTTATTAACTTCTTTCTTTCTTTATTTATTTTTGAGACAAAGTCTCACTTTGTTGCCCAGGCTAGACTGGGTGCCGTGGTGTCAGCCTAGCTCACAGCAACCTCAAACTCCTGGGCTCAAGCGATCCTCCTGCCTCAGCCTCCCGAGTAGCTGGGACTACAGGCATGCGCTGGCATGCCTGGCTAATTTTTTTATATATATATGTTAGTTGGCCGATTAATTTCTTTCTATTTATAGTAGAGACGGGGTCTCGCTCTTGCTCAGGCTGGTTTCGAACTCCTGACCTCGAGCAATCTGCCTGCCTCGGCCTCCCAGAGTGCTAGGATTACAGGCGTGAGCTACCGTGCCTGACCTGTTTTATTAACTTCTATGTCCCTAGAACATAATTCTGGCACTCTGTAAATATTTGTGAAACCAATAAATAAATGGTTTCCTTGACACCTCTTGGGATAGCATATGTGGAATTAAGAGTTGCTCATTACTTACCACATATTGGCAGCTCTGAGCCTCCGTAGAGGTCAGACTGGATCATGGGGGCAGAGAGAAGAGAAAAGGAAAAATTGTGAGTCGCAGCACTGAATGTTACAGACAAGGGTCTTGGGGCATGGCAGAGAAGGGGTTAATCTGTGGCATCACTGTTTATTAGCTTAGTGGCTCTGGGGCAAGGTTTGGATTTCTGAAATCCATAATCATAGCTTGTATGGTTGCTATATTAGAAATTATTTTTATAAACTATTGGGTTTTTTTGTTTGTTTGTTTGTTTTGAGATGGGGTCTCGCCATGTTGCCTGGGCTGGTTTCAAACTCCTGGCCTCTAGTGATCCTCCTGCCTTAGCCTCCAAAGTAGCGCCACAGCGCCTGGCTACTGTAAACTATCTAGCACAGGGCCTACTGCCTAAAAGGTGCTCAACAAAGAGTGTCTGTTATTTTTATTATTGTTGGAATGAAGCAAACAGGTATTAAGAGTAAGTGGCCTGGCATTATCAAATTTTTATTGTGGTTTTCTGACTGGTACTACATGGTAGGGAGGCATTCAGTAAGAATGTCTTGCTTGATCAAGTGGGTGAGCCTTATGCTGTCTGTTTTAGGGTAGAAAGTGCCCTTATATTAATATAGAAATTCACTGGTGCAGATATTTCACTCCACAAGTCTAAGTGCCTGGCAAAAGCTAAAACAACAAGAAAAGTATCTTGAAGTCCTACATCTTGACTGTGGGGTTGGCCCATCTGAAATTACTCTCCAAATATCACACTTACTGATGGGTTTTGGGGAGTGGCCAGTTCTACAGGCAGAACTTACAGATGAGAACATTTTAAAACTGGTTTCCCCTCTCTGTTATCACTGGCTTTTGGATGCCAACCCGGTTGAAGGCTGGAAATCTGCCATTTGGAGCCGAGGGCTGGCCTGGTCTTCGTGCCAGGACTTGAATCAGGCCCTTAGGAGCAGACAGCCCAGCCTTGCTACACCTCCGCTGTTTTTTCCTGAAAATGCATTCCTGTTTTATGATACATAGGTCTTGCATGTTTTAAAACCATGTCTTATGCCCTGGCAATTTCTCATTCTTATTTTTAATGTTTGCGAATTCTGCAACTTTCTGAAAAATGTAGTTGATTTGCTGCTACAGAAAGCAAGTACATTTGGGATATCGTGAATCAGTTTATACTTGCCATACTTCATGTTTTAAAATGGGAGAAAATTATAAAGCCATTGAAAATGTGTAGAATGTACGTGTAATGGCCCAATATAGTGATTATTTGTTGTTTATTATGTAATGTAGCTATATATGGTATGTGCTATATACGGTAAGCCTGTCTCTACTAAGATCTCTGCAGTTATTTTGAGCGTGTGTGTGTGTCTGTGTGTGTGTGTGTGTGTGTGTGTGTTTGAGATCAGGATGGGGAATCATTCATAGGAGACTTCTTATATGTGAACTTGAGCCAGAAGTTGAACAGCAGAGACAACATAACAAGGCAGTGTGAAGTTGACTGGGCTTCCGGCGTCCAGCCAAGTTCTCAAGGAGGTGGGGCAGAGAAGCCGGGGCAGTCCCCAGGGCCTCGGAGGTCATGGGGAAGAGTTGGATGCTTTTTTAAGTATCAACTGGATTGTGGGTAGATTTCACCTCTGCCGTAGCTGTCAGATCTAGGGGGTCCAGCCATTTCCAGAAAGACCTACTTTCCTGACCTCTGACATTGGTTCATCATGCACTCATTCATACATTGCCCTCTTTGAGTCAAGCGCTATCCCATGAGGTTACAAAGATCAAAGACCAACAGGCAGTCAGTATGAAACAGGGCTGTGCCAAATGTCTCTACAGGGCACAGAGGGCGCTCGAAGCAGGGAGGCCAGCTCTGCCTGGTGGGGCCAGGAAAGGTCTGAAAAGAGGACCGACCCACCTCTGAGAGCTTGAGCTGCATCTTGCCAGTGGTGGGACAGTGGGGGTGTGGCTGTGTTTGCAAGACTTCCTGGTGGCTGCGTCAGGGTCCAAGGAGAGGAGGCTAGGGAGGGGAGTCAGGGGCAGGGTTTAGAGGGCCTTGGTCTAAGCAGGTGTCTGCAAACTATACCTGCGGGCCAAATTCAGCTTGTGGCCTGTTGTTGTAAGTAAAGTATTATTGGCACATGGCCATGCTCATTTCACTTCCATATTGTCTGTCCCTGGTTGCTTTTGCATGGCCGTGAATATTTGCATGGCTGAGTATTTGCAGAGCAGAAACAGAATGTGGCCCACAAAGCCTAAAATGTTAGATTTACTGTCTGGTCCTTTACAGGAAAATTTACCAAACCCTGGCTAGGTGCGTGGGGCTTGTCTATCTAGTCCTGGGCCCAGAGATGTGTGGTGGTGCAGCTCTGTGATCAGACAGGCTTCTAGTAGATGCTTTGGAAAGCTTGCAGCCTGGAGGGAGGAAATGCAGAAAGATTACTGTAGCTGTCATCCAAAGGAAGGTGACAAGGGCCTGCGCTAAAGCAACAATGCGGGAGTGGTGAGGAAGACCCAG